AAAGATCAAAAGCACAGTTTTGCTGTTGGGGAACTTCTGAAGCCATGGCTGCTTCTGCCTAAAGAAAGTGTGAGAGTAATGCACATAGGCCAGTATTTGATTGCTGCGTTTAGTAAATCTTCTTTCCAATAAAATGAAATTGTAACTTTAAAAAAAGTGTATTGGTATATATGTTTAGAGAATTGAAAATACTGACTATCAAGTGAGATGGGATTAATAATGTTGTCAGCTTCCTGGGAATTGAGTATTCATTTGGTATTTTAATGAAGTGTCAAAATATGAAATGCTTACTCTGCCAAATCATAGAAATGCTAGTGTTTATATAGGGATAATGTAAGTACCAATTCTTTCATTCAACTTAGCAATTCTGTTTTTTCATATATTTTTCTTGGATTGCCCATAGAAATTAATACAGTACAGGATTAAACCATTAAAGAATTCACATGATCTGGCTTTCTTCTGGAGAAAACATGTGGATCTCAGTGCACAGTTACTTGAAGGAAAAAACAACTGTGTCTAGAGTTCCTTAAATGTCTTGGATTTTTATCTGGTTGCATATGTGGCCCAGTATCCTCTTTTTTTTTTTTTCTTTTTTTTTTTTTCTTTTTTTTTCTTTTCTGAGTGAACTGAATTACGTGTCCAAATTATGTGATTTCTTGGTTGATACTACTGAAAGGTCCTAGAAATGGCAAATGGGAAGCACTGTGTCAGGATGCAGTAAACATACTGAACGATAGTAGGATGGGAAGTGTATGAAAAGTGTGCAGAGCTACTAAATAGGTTATCTTATTCCTTCTGGCAACTTTTCCCACATCTCCCCATTCGTACTTCTTATGTGAGTTTTGGAGACATTTGATTAGCCTTTTTATCAGTGAAGCATGCCGTCTGGAGTCTAGTCAAGGTACAGATACCTGTCTCCAATACCATCACACCCTGCCCTCCAGCTGCCTCCCACACCACAGGGAGGACAAAACTGTCTACCATGGTCACTAACAGGAACAGTTGAAATGCCACTTCAAGGTTCATTTAGTTGCGTTCAGCTCACTGCTGGGAACTGAATGCTGGTTTGAAAATGAAAAGACTTTAATGAGTTGGGGGTCTTTATGGGGCTGGTATTCTTGGCAGCGATTAACAGTAGGGGGTATACAGAAGGTCAAAAGCTCTCCTTTTGAGGGGTCAGCAGAACATCCCTGTCTGATAAGATTAAACTAATGTGGCTTTTGGTGTTAATATCTAAAGCAGCAGGCTGCTGTAATGTGTTTGGGATGGCAGGCATTGGGGGGAAAAAAGGAAAAGAGACAAGTGGTGATTCATTATAATCGAAAATGTGAGATGATTCTGGCAAGTAATACAAGTTTGGGATTTTTTACACACACACATATGCATATATTTTTTAGAGGGTTTAAAATAACTTTGTCACAGACCAACTGATACTGGAAGTGTAAATTAAGCTGCTGCACAAATACCAGTTTTGAATTTTAGTTGAATAATTTACTTTTAAATTTGCTTTTTCCTCTGTGTTTTCTGTATTTGCATAGTGCATTAAATGTGTCTTAGTCATTTGTCTTACTGCAGCTAAGCCTCGTGTATGAATTTCAGTTTTCAGATTACTTTACTGGATATTTCAATGGACAGTACTGGCTTTGGTGGATATTTCTTGTACTTGGTAAGTGGCAATTGAAAACACTTCTGTTTTGATGTGGAAGTATTTAAAGATGAATCGTGTCATTGTAAGTAAAGAGTTCTGTAACATGTTTAGCTATGTGTTTTTCTTTAGCTGCTGATAGTTCTGTGTGGTTTTTTTATTTCCATAGTATTCACGAGGTTATTGGTTACCATAGTGGTGTTACTGTGTGAACTGCGGACTATTCAAATAACCTTCAGCTCAAAAAATTTTGTTCTGCATATGTAATTATGTACACACCTGAGACTTGTAATTTGTGCTTTTTAAGTTGCTTCTACTGATCTAGGGATGCAAAACTGTGTAATGAAACTCTGGCTTTATGTAGAGAACATACTGAAAAGTGAGTGATACCAAGTACTTACAGGTATAAACCTGTATGTGAAGTATTAAATGTTAAGAAATGTGACTGATCCTGGGAAGGTGGAGTCTGCTGTCCTGTACATAGGTCACAAAATGCCCTTTTCTAGTCCTTTGAAATGCATGCTGCATCAGTAGTTTCTCAGTTGGACAAGAGAATGGCTTCATGCTTTCTGATCACAGTGCTCACATGATGTCAGCTTTCTCTTAAGAGGTCTGTCTGCCCGTGTTCAAAGTCTTACACACATCAAATTCTACTATTCTGTCTGCTTTTAATTAGGATATACCAAGCCCCAACCACTATACCTTTTTTCCTACTGTGGATTTTGTAATTTGAATGTGGGATCTGGAATGATTTTCTTTTTACTGAAGATTTTCTTCTGTAAAAGATTTTCTTTTTACAGACTATGTTATTTTCTAGCTCTGGAAGCGTAGTAAACTGTTGCTGGTTCAGTAGGTGGCACTCTTCCCTTTGAGTCAATTGACTCAAATGGCTAACAGCGAATGTTAGAATGAAATGCTGAGAAAATTTACAAAAAAAAAAAAAACCCAAAACCTACCCAATCAAACAACACTGAGATCCTGACTGTTTGTGACTGCCAGAAATCTTAAATGATGTTACCTAAAACTTTCTCTGTCTGGCTTTTAGTAAAGTTTGAGGACATTCATCAGCCTTCTTAATACTCAGCTTGCTCAGCTGCACTGTTGTGCACTTGGTTGCTTGAGATACATAGAAACTGCAAATGTTTAACACATCACAGCACCCGTCCCTCGAACACTTTCGTATTCTGTTTGAGGTGATTGCATTTAAGTAGCAAGTAAAATTACTCTTAACAGGTACAAACATCTCTAGATAAACCTTTAATTAAAACAAACCCCTTGTGGTGCCTGAAATAGGCGTTCGATGCTGTTTTCACTTGGATGAAAATAGTGTGTTCTTCCCCTAACATTTTCCCCCACTGCGTCTATGGAAAAAGCTGTGCCTTTGTAGTTCCTCTTTCTCCTCGTCTTTTGCAGCACTTGTTCAGAAGTTAGCTCTCTTAGATTTAGGAAAGCCTTATCTTCAGCCTAACTGTTTGAAGGTTTGGGTTTCTTTTTTCTTTTACTTTAACTCACAAAGTTTATGCCTTGGAATAAAAGGCACTGTGAAGCATGCAGTATGCATTCAGCAGTCAATGTTCCCTTGTCTTATGAATGTTTTGCATGAAATATGTCAACAATGTTTTTAAACTGATAAAGTGGATATACTGAGATTGCTAGAACACCATAGAAGGATTTGACCCAACAGAGCTACTTAGCAGGACATGGAGGAGTATTATCAAGTCACGGGAGCTCTGCCAACCAGATCTGTATTTCATTGTTTTGGATAACTTTCCCATTAGAGCACGTGAAGTAGCATGTCCTGCATCTCTTCAGAAGTGAATGAACTGAGTTGGAGTCCTTCTTTTGCATAGTCCTTTGACATACTTGAGCCCACCTATCGCCATCTTCTCCTCTCTTCTGGTGGTCACCTGTCTGTTTCTGCTCCCTTCCCTTCTTTCAATGTCTGGAAAAATCTGCTCACTCTTCCTGGAGAAGTGAAGTGGTCTACTTCCAAGGAGCTGTCATGTACAGTGAACAAATTGAAGAGAGAGACAATTCTAATTTTTAAATTTAAATGTTAGCCAATGTTTCTTTTTGAAGAACACAATGGAAAATATTGGTGGGTTGTGTTGTTTTGTTTTGTTTTGTCTTCCCTAAACAGGGAAATATAAAACATGGATTGAACTTGGACTGGTTTTCCAACATGTGTAATGCAGAAGGTATGCTTTCAGGCACCTTAGAGCTGCCTGCCCACCTTTTGCTATTTCAGCTGCTTTTCAGTTGAACGTGGGACTATCTCTGGTAATGTCTGGGTAGCAGCTTTTGTAGTAGACTTTTGATCCAGATCTTAGTGCTTTCTTCTCTGTGCAGAATTCACCTTAATCACAGAAGTGTGTCTGGTGTAGGTCAAAGTTGCAGTCATTAGCAGAGCATTCTTTGTGTTTGGGGGTTTTTTGTGTGTGTCCTACTCAGGCTTTGGTTTTAAAAAAGCAACAAGTAAATAAAAGCAGAAAGTACATAAAACAAAAATTTACAAGTAAAAGGAATTCAGAGAAGAAAAGACTATAGGAAAAAAATAATCAGAGTCTCAACCTGGAGAGCAGGAAGAAAAAGTGCATCACATAGCAAAATATCAATGCAATCATAGAGATTGTTTGTTAGGATGTAAGATGATGAAAAGGATGAAATTCTTTGCTAAACTTCTTAAGCTTCAGTTTAGTTTTGCATTTGAACCTTTGGAATCTTAATGTACAGGTGTATATATACACATGAGCATATACCTTCAAAGTACCTGTGTGTTCATTAAATGAGGAGAATTGCTCTCTAGGCTCATGTTTCTCTCCACTGGATGGGGAATTCAGATTTTGACCTCCCCCAACTCTTTGGGCAGATTGTTTTATGTGTGTTGGATTCTCCCTGATCCAACTGATGAATGGATTAATCTGTTGAAGTTTACTTAGTGGAGGAAAATGGACCAAAGAGCTCTGTCCACTATGCAACAATGTGTTTTTCTGGGTCTGTTTGTTCAGATGTCCAGTGAATCTCTTGAGTTGATAAAATGATGTTGGCAACATCATGTTAGTGATTTCCATTGTTGCAACTGTAACTTCTGTGTGACCATTCTGTATCCCTTGTTGCTCTTATCAGAGCTGAAATATTCTTTCAAACACAGTTAAATTTAAATATTTAAAAATAATTTGAAATGTGGAATTGACCAAAAAAAAAATGTAATCATAACACATGTTGAGTAATTTTCTTTGAATCGACTGTTGTTCTTCCTCCTCTTGGACAGGTGCATTTTCCTGGATGGTTAAATCTCAAGCCATAATCTACTATAATTTATTATTGGCTTGCTGCTAGAGCAGTCTGTACTGTCTGTCTGTTGTTTGTTTGTGTTTGGTTTTGGTTTTGGTTTTTTTTTCTTTTCCCCCTGTTGACTTGCAATACATTTATCTTATACAGTTCTAAAGTTTTGTGGTTCGGGTAGTCTTCTAACACACTAGTAACTTATTTTAAGAACTGTACTTGAAAAGAATATGCAGCATCTATTTTTTTTTCCTTCTTTTTAAGTTCTTTCATGCAGTCTTTTTAGCAGATGATATTTGAACCCAGAATGAGTGTAAAATTTCTGAACAGCCTTACGGAAGGCTTTATCCTAATATCACACGATAAAAGCAGACTTGCTTGTTGAATTTGTGAATGATGCATGAAGACCTCACTTTATTTAATTTTAAACCTAGATTACACTATTTTAATAAGAATAATGTGGGATAGCATGTACTTAGGTTGATATATTTCATTTTGTGCATTTACTACACTTTCAGGACTCCTCCTGTTCTTTCGAGGCTTTGTTAATTATCTTAAAGTCAGAAATATGTCTGAAAGCATGGCAGCTGCTCACAGAACAAGATTTTTTTTCTTGTACTGAAGGTAAGCAATTTTTAGTGATAAGATTATGTCTCCTAGGAAAACTGAGAAGAATGAAATACTTATGCTAAAAATTATTAATCAAACTTCTGTCGCAAAACAGAAGTCTTTTCAAAAGCAAGGTTTTTGAACATCTGTCTTGAATGTTGTATATATTCTACATGGACTTGGAAGTATCTGGTCTCTTGAAGTCATGAAATTTGAAAGTAAATAATGCATCCTTGTTGCCTCCAGTCCTCCCTGGAACTAATGTTCAGTAAGAAAAACGAAGAGGAACCTGTTGTTTTTCCTAAGCAAGAAACAGTATCTGCTGCCTGTCAGGGTACTGTCCTTTGTGTTGGAAAACTGGCTTTAGTAGTTAACCTGTTGTCAGCAAGTTAGGAAGCACTAATCTGCCTGCATATTAAATCTGATTGACGTGGATCTGAACATGCAAACAATAGATGAGCATTGTCTCTCTTTACATGACTGGATTAAGACAGTCATGTACAAGTATGATTATTGTGTATGCAACAATGTGCTTTATGTATCCTTAAGGTAGCTGACTAATCAGTCTGGCACATACCCACTTTTTTTTTTTTTTAAATACTTTTTATCCGTTGGGTGGATCTATTGGACTTCACTGTGTGACTTAAACCAGGGGTCTCTGTATTCAACTTTGTTTACTTAAACTGCATGACAAGATAAACTTAAGCCTAGAAATAAGTACTGTAGCATTTTCATTACTCTGCAGTTTACTTAAAATGCTTAAATACTCTATTTTGACTTAACTGAGAGGCTGTGTCTGTCATAATAAAGCAGGTTTTCGTAACTTTTCTCCAAGATTGGTCACAGGATCAACATGAAGTAACCTGTAACCTGCAACACATTATTGAAGCCTGAAAAAAACCTGAGACAGTATTTGCCTAGGAAAGAATGGTTCCTTTTATATAAGACAGCGATATACACTTAAAACCAGCTAACGATTAATATGTATGCTATACTATATAGTTCTTGATCATGGAAGAAATCTGTTAACATAACTGTAACAGGATAGTTCTTTTTAATATGCCATTTTGTCAAAATTATATGGTAAGTTAGAGTTAAATAACTAAGGTGTATATTGCCTTTTAGTAACGAACCTAAATTGGCATGTACATGGCAGCATTTCCTGTTTACAATAGTTACATATCGCTCCTTTTCTTAGTAATGTGGTAACATCTTCAGAATACCAAAATTTGTAGAGACGAGACTGAAAGTATCTCTTAGCTTTCAGCACAATAAAGTTTAAAAATACTATTTCAAAAATAATTGTTAGGAGTAACTGGTATTTGAAAACTGTAGCTTGAAGAGAATGATAAGAGTGTAGTATAATGTGATCTGGGACTCCTTGCTCTCCTGCAGTTAAAATTCTGCTTTGGGACAAAACGCTATTTAGTTCAGCATTAACTGAAGTTAATGAGTTGTCCTATCTGAGTTCAGTGGCTTTGAATTTTTCCTTTACCTGTAAGCATCACTGAGATGTATGGGCTCATAAGGTCTGTGGAGTGTTTAGAGAGCTGGACGCAGAAATACTATTTTTTTTGAAGCGTCTTAAGTATTGAAACAAGAAGTGCAAATTAATTGCTATCACACTTAAATGTCCTTGTTTATGCATAGACAGGTAACTTCCTCTACAGTGACTATTAGTTTTAATAAATAACAAAATTACCTCTAAAGTTACCAAATATTCTCAGGTGTTCTTTTGAAATGATAACAAAATAACAGTAAGCTTTCGCTTTTTTCTCCCATCCTGACATGGGGGGAAAGAGGCTGCTTCTTTGCTGCTTCTAGGTTTAACGTCAGTTAGCAACACTACTTGTAGCGAGTCACTGCGATGAACTGAAGTACAACTCTTTCTTTATCTCCAGACTCCATCGAACAGACATTCCTTTCCTATACCAGGGTGAAACTTCCAGATGATCTGTAACCCTCCGAGTCAATAGGATAGAAGACTACTAAAACCAGAAGACAAATTAGTGAAGATACAGCTTCAAAAAAGAATGACAGGATGGTTTATGCTCAATACCAGTTCTGGTCATTCTAGTAAATACTTGTAATTGCTGCCTTTTCTTCTAGCACATTTGCATATGTGCTTATTAAAAAGATAGTTTTGAAGTAAGAACAAACCATCTGTTAGTATAAATTAGGTACAGTCAGACTCGGTTAATCTGTGCTTGTTACATCTGAAAGATTTAAGTGGTAACTTGTTTCACAGTGTGTGTGTACCACTGACTTGTTGATCTGAACTTTGAGTACAATGAAATGCATTAAATGATTCAGATTAACCAGTTCAGACAGTTTTTTTTTATATAATTTAGATCCATCTAATGATTGTGTAGAACATTTTTAAGTTTACTAAAGCCCAAAGTTCCTTGTCACAAACTTGCATTCACCAATATTTTATCAAACCAATATACTGGTTTGCTTAAAAATGATACTCCACTTTGAGTCCTCTGTAAATAACTCTGCATAAATGACTGTTTGAATTGCTTCTTAGGAAATATGTCAAAATATATTTTGTAACAGCATATTCTCTAAATTTTGTTAATTGGCTATTAAGGGTATAGTTACTATTAGATGTAATTTTGGAGGTAAAGGCATTGAATTGTTTGTCTCATCCTAACTTTCCTCACATGAATTATTAACTGGTTTGGGCTTGAGCCTGAAAGTCATTATTCATATGCATGATCCCATTAAAAGATAAGAGTTTGCTCATGTTAGCAGGGATGGACAGCCTTACATCTTTAGTCCTTGGTCATGCAGTTGGATCCTCGTAGGTGCACCTTTGTTCCTGGAACACAGTATTGCAAATGTATTCCCTGGGTTATAACACTGGCTCTGTTTAAGAAGTCTTGAGTTCAGTATAAATACAATATCCACCTTGAGGGCTTCTCAAAAAAAAGAAACATATAGCTATCTTACAGTGCTTGTTTAGAATAAATACTTTGCCATTTCCTAGGAATAAACTAATTTAAATGTAAGATAATTTTGGAAATAATCTGTGAAGGAGAAAAAAAAATTACTTTTAAAGCTCTGAAAGTAGAAAATGTATGTTGCACCTCTCCCAGTATTCATTTAAGGTACCATTACTTTCTTATAAATATCATCTCTTTAAGGGGCACTGTCTACTGTTCATGCATGTGTGGTTTCCTTTAAAGTTTGTGAAATTTATGCTTCTCCTTAAGTAGGAGAATACATCTCACAGTTCTTTGTACAACTGGAATCTCAGTTGCGGAAATACATTGGTTGTTGGTTGCACCTTTGAGGGAGAAAAAAAAAAAAACCACAAATACTTTCCTCCAGTTTTTCTTTTTATATTAGAATTCTGCCTTTTTATTACTAACATTAAAAACAGTGAGGTTTATGTTGTTTTAAGCTAGTGCTGTATTCAGTTTTGTATCTATAATGAATGTTTAAAATATGCATATGTAAACTGGTCACGTTATTAATTTTCTTAATCTTTCAGAGATACTGAAAGTGACTAAAACTTTAGGGGCACCTCCACTTCCCAGCTTTTTATGGAAAGAATAAAATTAAGTATTATGTTCAGTATCTGATTGGCATTTCCTTCTAGACTTATCTGTTTGTTTCTGTGTTCTTTTGCATTCATTGTCCATATGAAAAAAGTGGATAATAAAACATTGCTTTGTTTTGCTAATTAAGACTTAGGGGTTTTGCTTTTTTTTTTTTTTTTAACTTCACATTTAAAAATGCACACTGCAATATTTGTGTCAACATGGAATTACAGACAAATTGGCAAAATAGATACTAACCAATCCTCTCTACTTTTCTCCTTTTCATCTCATGTTTTATGGCCACAAACTGCAAGGACATTTCTTTTAATGAGTTAATACAACTGTGCAAAGCATGCAATAGTGATTCATTTTCTGTGTTTACCACTATCAGCTAGTACTATTTTCTAACTCTCTCAGTTTTCCCAAATTAAGTATCAGTCTTCTGACTGAATTATTTTTGTTTGCTTCACTGCATTTTACAGAAAGCTTCGTACAGATACTTGGTTTTGTTGCGGGTTTTTTTCCTGGACTAGCTTAGAAAAACTCTCATTTGGACAGAAAGAACATGTAGGGTTAAAAATGTACACATGTTATCTAATCCTCTATAGTTGATGCAGCAGTTTGGTAGCCTGAAATCTCATCAGCAGGAGGAAGGGAATTGGGACACTGTTTTCAAAGACTCTGCAATCTATTCCAGATGTGTCAAATGCTGCATATTTTCCTTGCTATTTCCTGTGAGCTTGGTTAGGAGCAGCTGGCTCTGTGGTTTAGAGACACCTGGCCAGCTTTGCTTTGTGTCTTAGTGGTTGGGGGGGGCTGGTGGAAGCTCCAGTATCGCAGTGAAGTTGACTGTAAACAGATTTTGTATGAATGCAAATAAGGCTTTGAAGTTTGGGGCAAAAACAGCTGGGGGAGGGGAGGTGGGGAGAGAAAATTCCATTTTATTCGAGCAGCTGGCATTGAATGTAATTTCTTTAGTTTTGTCATCTCCTTTTATTGATGTGGACACCACAGGAAGATGGACGTCTTGAATATGATTCGGGTAGCCTGCGACCCTATTAACGCATTTCAGAAATGATCCATCACACTTCCAGTCCACTTACGGAGAGCAGTTTGTCTCCAAGCTTCCACTTTGCTGTCTCACCTAGAGTATGGACACCGTCCTCATCCTGCAACACCTTTTAACCTGGTTTCAACACCCTGCTCTTTCTGGGTCTGCTTCCCTCTCTTCGAACGATGACAACAGGTCAGGAAAAGTGGTTTCATTAACGAGCTGGCCTAACACCAGAAAGCTTTTAAGCTCTTCTCCACTTTTTGCGGATGTTTTCCCATAATACTCCTCATTAGTCCCTCCTGTGTGGTTGTTTGCATTGTTCACCTGAACAACATTTCATCGCGTGAAATTACTATTGCTTCCTGGACTTTTAAAGATAAGGTGAATAACCGCTGGTATGGAAATAGGTATCTCTCAATAAGGAAAAAAGAAAAATCTAATTGTGCTAAAATGTGATAAGCATATGTGCACAGCTATCCAGAGGCAGTGGAGTCCAGTGTATTGTTTATCCTGTGTATGTTGTTCTTTTCCACCATCCCAACATCCTTATCTTTTGCCTTTATATTTCCAAGGATATCTTTACCATCTCTATCTTCTCTACGTAGCATATCCTTTCCACTGCCATGTCCCTTCTCCCTTTCTCTGTGCACTTGTTACACACCCTGCAAGGACAGGCAGAAGGCTGCCCTACTGCCTGTTGGCTGCAGTTACTAAATAACCCACATAGCAATTTCTAAGCTTTGTTTTTCTTAACTGCAATGATGCTTTGTATTTTCATAGGTCCGTATTTTACAGGTAAGCCAACTTTTTACAATCAATGATTTTCAGACAACTGAAAATGCTTAAAATATGTGACTGTGCCCATCCACCTGTTGCAAGTATTGCATATGTAAGTGGAATTAAAACAGCAGCAGAATTTGTTTTATGTAGATTTTCCTTTAGCTCCCCAAGTGTCTGCATGATCAACTTCAGACATTTTTCTGATACGTAATTCGGGTTGGTTTTTTTCCCACCCTTCCCAAACGAAAGAGAAGTCAGCTTTCCTGGATTTTTGTCTGTGGTATATTTTCTACATAAAGAAACTTGCATGCGATGAGGTTTAAAAGTATTGCAAACAGCATCAGCTCTCGAGCTATTGTTCAAGGGTTTTTTTGTGTGTGTGTAAAATGGAAAGGTATATATTCAAAAAGGTTTTAAATGTTTTCGTTCTTTTATACTGAGGGATGGTTACAGTTATCCCCATGTTTTACATCTGTTCTTGCAGTCTTCACTCTTAATTTTTCTTGTGGTCAAAGAAACACTGTGTTTGTGGGGGTATCCTTAGTGTAATACGAGAAGTTGTTCCTTGATTCTTCATTATACGTGGCTGCACAGATGCCCATCCTTCTTAATTTTCTAGGTTGGTGTAGTCCCATGACTTCCAAATGCCCAGTTTCACATGGAACAGACTGCTGCTGCTATAAATTGATTATTAGTAGAATACCTATAAAGCAAGCTTCACGTGCATGTGTTCGTTAACTGAGTCTTGTCGTTTAATATAATTGCAGTAGCATTGCAGGTCAGTCCACTTCTGCTGCTGCTGTACGTAGCCGATGAGAGCTCAATCCTGGAGTCTGAAGTCTTAGGTATATTTTTTCCATTAGTAGTGACCGGGTGTTTGAGCAAGTCTGCAGGTCTTGCTGGTGGAAGCGTTACTGGAATAAAGCCAGCGCTAATCATTGTGTAATTGGTAGCATGAGCACCAGTGGGACCATTGCTTAGCTGCTGGGCTCTTTTTTGTATCTAACCGACTTCTAATTAATGAGTTAATTTGGCAATGTCTTTTGCAACTTTGATAGAAAGCCTTCACATGGATTTTCATCTTAAAGGATGATGAGTTGGTTTTGATGGATCAAACCTACCTCTACCTCTCGGAGCAAGGAACGTCTGAAGACAGCCCTACAGTTCACTTCTTTGTATACACAGAACAATGGAAATCATTTCTGCAGATTAAATTGATAAGCCAAATCCTACTCTTTCTGCCTGAAATGTGAATCAGATCCCACTTAAAGGCTGTTACTTTGAGGATAGTCTGACACTGCGGTTAAGCAAACCCAGGAATTTCTATTGTAAATAACCATCAGCAGTCAGTTGTAGTGTTACTCTACTTTGGATTCTCAACTGCTGCTACTTTTTCCTTGAGGAGTCAAGCTTTGGGTGGTTTTTTGGTAGGAAACTTGCAACATTTATTCCAGTTCTGCTGGTGTTCATAACATGGGCACATGTTAAATGCAAGAAACACTGACAGCATAATCCCGTGGTTAAAAAACTTTAAGTGTATGCATTCAGGAGACTTAAAGGTTTGTGAATTCTGACTGAAAGTGGATGTGATGTGTTGGACTCGGCTTGTTTACATATAGCTTGGCTCGAGTCTCTGCCTGATTCCTCCTTCATAAGGATGGTGAGTGCTGCTACGCAGTGTGCTCTGGATACGTCACGGGTTCAAGCTGAGATTGCTGCGTATTAAGCAGATTCACTGTGAAGGGAGCAAGGGAAACAAGGGGAGGAGGTTGGACCTTTAACTCGGGTTTGCTTGGACCTTTAACTCTGGGTTTGCAACAACTGGTGTAGCAGGTGCTTCTGGCGGGATGATGGGAGCACATCTGAGTGCAGTCCTTACCCCCTTCCTCCCCAGTGGATCAGCCACTTCGTGTACCTACATAATCTGTGAAAACAGCCCTTCGGTTTTCTTCCTGGAGACAACTGGAATAGCAAACTCTCATCCACTTGGACAGAGAGAAGGAGGTCCCAGCTGGCTGTCCGCAAAGGCGCTTGGCCAGCAGTTGTTAGCCTAGCTGGCCCCATGGGAAATGCCTCTGGCTCTTTCCC